AAGAAAATAACAAAATAATTCATTTGGTTTTGATTTGATGATGATGATGATGTCCTCCAACCTCCATTTGTTTGTATGATATGATATGTAAAATTGGCCAAATATCAGTGAATGAATGATTTGATTTGGCCAATAACAATGATGTCCTCCAACCAACCATTTGTTTGATATGAAATGATATGATATAATAATACTTTTTTATGTTATTGTGGATAAGATTCAAGATGTAGTGATTATGGCTTATGATTATGATGATGATGATGATGATGACTATCCAGTGAAATGATCAAGGAATGGAATGGAATGGCATGATATGATATGATATGATATGGAATGGAATGGAATGGCAATACGATATGATGACTATCCAGTGAATACCAATGGCATGTTATTATGATGATATGATCCAGTGAATTCCAATGGCAGGTTATTATATATGGAATGGAATGGAATGATCCAACGATATGATACGATACGATACGATATGATGACTATCCAATGAAAACCAATGGCATTATACGATATGATGACTATCCAATGAAAACCAATGGCATTATACGATTTGATCTATAGTATGACTTGGATAGAAACTATTATTAAAATGTATGTATGTAGATATTTACCTTTATTGGTGGTGGTTATTGATGATTTGTTGTTGCTGTTTTCTGGTAAGGGAATGAACAAAAATGATAATAATAATAATGATTTTTTTTTATTAATGTTTTTTTTTTTCAGCCTCATATAGGGAGTGAAGACATGGCTCACATATGCAAGTCAAGTGGATGGATTGAATGTCAAGAAATGGGTGAAGAATGAGTGTCGAACAATCAAATGTCAAGAGAAGGCAATAGCCAACAAATGCAAATGATATGTATGAAATGGGTGAAATGAGAAGCGAGGAAAAGGTAAGTAAAAAGCAAAAATAGGAAAGATTTGGGAAAGGAAATTGGGAAGAAAGTTAGATTGATAGTCATGAAATGGGTAAGAATAGAGATTCAAAGATGGGAAAATGTACAAAGCGATTGATGAAATTGGTAATCATTAGACACTGTGTGTTTATGATGGTGAAGT